GCACCATTTTTCCAGATAAATTTAAATTCGACTACATGCATCAACTAACTAAATTGTTACGACTATTTGCCTTTCATCAAACATCCTGCAAAATTATAAACAGGTAGAACTGGGTTTAAAAAACAAGAAACAAACTACTATAATAATGTAAGGACCATGTAACATTCCCCAAATATCAATTCTTTAGCCCATTTTTACAATTTGGGAACATCTTCCTCTCAGTCCCTCCTACTCTCCACACCTCATTTACCTATATCCATTCGTTTAACAGCGAAGGTACAAAAGTATAATGTTTGAACAAAGGTCAAGTTCAAGGCAGCAAGTTCTCTTCAACAACATCCGGTAGTGAAGGTGATGAACCACCACTAATTTTGCTTGGTACAGGTGTATTTCTTCGAGACTGGCGCTTGGTAGGAACAAGCACGCCCTCCTGCTCTAACTTTTCATGACTTATGTCATCCTCATCCTCATCCTCGTCGTTCTTGAAAACTGGATGGGTATAAGCATTAAGGAGATAGCCTTTCAGATAAAAGTTTGGTTCTCTTGCATGCTCTAAAGTATCTTTCATCATCGCTTCCTGAAGTCCGCAAGGATCACATATAAGGATCAAAAAGTTTCATACTGACAGATATATGTCATCATCAAGAGAAACAGCACTAAATTCCAACAAGGTCGAAGATGCATTCAACTTTTCTATTAAGATTGATGCAAGAGCAGAACTAATTTGATCATGTATAGAAATGATAAAGAAATGTTCATCCCAAGGGATTATTTTGCCAGTTACCTGTAAAGGATATCTGACGAAAGCAGGTTCATAACGACCTTTGCAGAATTTATGGAAATAGATGGTCAATATTGGAAGTGCAATAAGGAACGGTGTTGTGTCAGCAGCCCCCTTTGTACTCATTAACCCCATTAGAATTAGCTGTGAGAAGACCATGGCAGATATTATACGTCCATGGACATCTGGCCAAAATGCTGCAGCACTTTCATACTCTTGGTTGTACACATTTATGATCTGCATGATTGCACAAATTCTTCGTTAGAAGAACTAAAAGATGTAATCACCTGTGTATCTACGTGAGATAGAGAGTTACAGACATAAGAATTGTAATAACAACCAATGTGTTTCTAGAGTAGGAGCTTTTTCATAGACCATTTGAAGAGAGTTAAATGCAGCAGCTATAGACAAACGTTTGTTTACCAAAGGGACCACATGTTGCAAACTACACGACCGCTGCTAAAATAAGCACGCATACCATGTTTTTACTTGCTCACTCAGAGAGGGAGTACAAAATTGATTACCTGATGGCGAAATACCACATATGCGAGGGCAAAGAAAACCAATATGAAAGGAAGCAAAACCGGTGTCACCACAGCATAGACAAGACCCAAAAGAAAATACAACTGTATTTGAGGTTCACCCGTATTGAAACCAACACTTCCAGGATCCATTGCCTCCTCTCTATCCTTTTCAGTCTTCACCAGGAAGAAGTTCTTTAAATGGAAGATTATCAGTGGTTTCAGTCTTAAGATCTCCCCTGCAACACCAGCCCAGCCATCTACCATTATATAAGTAATGAAGAAAGTTGCTTTCATCGGGATGGCAACACCAATTGTTCTAGGGATACTGCAACAAGCAATCCACACAGTTGTTTCAGATGTACAATCCCAAAATAAAAGATATCCAAATGGATCTTAAGAATTATCGGTTTTTCTTTTTTGGATGAAATAAATGTTACAATCTCAAGGATGCCACAGGCATCATATACAGAGACGTGACTAATACAAATGCCATGAAAAAACGTACGCGTTTGCTGACTGATGAAGAAAACTTTTGAGTTGTTGGAGTGCAGTTCCTGCTATTACGCTCACAAGGAAAACATTCACAAAGTTGAACATATAATATCTGGTGGCAGCTCTCCTCTCCAAAGAGGATATAGAGAGAAAGCCCTCAAATTTAGACATCGTCATTAATATTGATGGTAGAACTATGAGGAAAATCTTCAAAGCAAGCCCAGTTAGAAAACCTTGTATGAAAGACTTGATGAAAGGTCTGCATCACAAATAGGTTACATTATAGAATAGCAATTGATGATGAATTTGCTGCCAAAATAATATTCAATTCATAACACAATCAGAAAACATTTTGCATATAAAACTCCTGATACCTCTGGCTCATGGCCAAAGACTGCGAATGGAAAAGACAAATGTATATCTTATGAGTGATAACAAACCGGACCATGATGTAAGAGCTCATAATTTTTAGGCAAATAAAAATCATGTGCTTACACCGGAATAGGCTCTAAGAATGAAACATACTCACACTTCAATAATCGGCTTCAAAAATGGTGCATATTTTTCAATATCCTCAATGTTAGCAAGCGATTGCACAAATGTCATAGGGATCACGAAGAAGAATGTGAAAAAGAAGAAAGCAACATTAGCAATAAGCCTCCTAATAGTCAATGAAACATAGGGGATTGCCAGGTTATCCCAATAAACATCTCGTGGCTCTGGAGCCCACTCTGTTAACCACACAACTGGATTTCTCGATTGTTGTGTTTGCGCACAGACAGCAGCAGCCCATCGGGTTTTGAAGGAAACAAATGCTGCTGGCATGATAGACTTTGGATCTTGTTTTACCCTGTCACTCTCTTCAGCTATCTGCAAATAAGGCAACACTTAGACTGCAGGAAAAAATTGTTTTCAATAAATAATGTTTTAGGGTTTAGGAAGAGGCCTCTTTATCTTCAAAATTAATCTCATTTCATCTAAGAAAAATGTGATCAATATGAAGACATGCAAAGTTAGCAATAAATAGAAGGCAATTTTAAATTGCTTTAGATGAAGGGAATTTTTATGACATAAATGATTTTAAGAAAACCTCCCCATCTTTGTATTGTTTCTTGAAGAAACTAATCAGTTGACTGTATTTGCTGTCGTTGACAACTACTTTCTGCACAATAATGTGTTGATCAAACATTATACTGCCTAAGGGAAAGCAGCAGGTTAACTTCTAAAGCTCGAATAAATTTGTTAATTTTCTTCTGTAGAAAACCTCAAAATGATCAAGGCTATATATATATATAACCATTTACAATATCAAAGAATTCAGCAACCAACAACAAAATAGGAATTTATTCTCAGTAATTTGGAGCCGGAGACGTGAATCCTTTTTCGCCACTCCATTTGTCCATTGCTACAGCTACCCAAAGATTAAAGCAAATAGATTCTTAGCACTACAATAAGCAATGTTAACTTTTATCTACTTCTCCCTCTTTTAAAGCGCAACCAACGAGCATATTTCAAAAGAATATAACTAGGAAGATCTGACTAGACTACATATTTATGTCTAGTTTTACTATCAACAGTCAGGCCAGGAGCTTTTGAATTTCACCATGCTCTGTAAGAAGAAAGAATTAAGAAAGGTAAAAGGCAATAAAAATGGAAAAGCGACAAGTTCAAAAGGAATAGACCTTTCTGAAGCTTTATAGATCTAGATATTAAAAATTTGAGAACTGACACTTACTTCTTTCGATAGTCTCTCAATTTCAGCTGTCTGATATTCAATTGCATCTACTTTCTCTCCAAAAAGACCAAGAAAACCAGTCTGTAAAATTTGGAAATTAGCAAAGTCATGATTAAACCTTTAACTCATATGTCGAACCATTTAAAAACGTAGAGAATCACCCGATTTTGAGAAATTCTCTTGACATTATATGCAACAAACAGAACGCTTAAAGAGTAATTGTATCCGTAAACAGTACCTTGGCCATTGGCCGTTTCGACTGATTTCTCGAATATTTTAATTGGTAATAGTCAAGCCAATTTTGCTTTTTTTTCTTCTCCTCGACCAGTTTTGCAAGCTTATTGGCATTGCATACAACCTGCAGAAACCTTCTATCGTTAGAATACAGATGAAAATAAAAATAACTGTTGTGTTTAATTCTTCACAAAGCAGGCACATTCTTTGAAAAAAATGTTTCTTAGTCCAACTTTAATTCAAAATTTACTAATTTACCCATTGCAATTGCCGGAAGGGGGGCGTGGGGTCGGGTACACGGGCTTGTAAACGCCCGTGTACCTGTAGCAAAACCCTTACCGGAAATACTGGGTGGCACAAAAATAGAGGGGAAATTGAAAGTTGACATAAAATGGGTACCCCGATTTACTATTTGTACCTACTATTATTTACTTTTTTATAAAAGATAAATATCTTATAATAATTAGAATTATCTATCTATATATCCAAGTATGTATGATAATTCACTTCATTATTTTTTTTCATTTCTTTGTATTTTGTTCTTGTCTTCGAATTTTTAATAAAGAAAGAAATTCTTACAAATTATCGAAAGATTCGTTAGAATGCAACCCAACATGATTTTTTTAGCGAAAATGAGAATTTCAGGAGATAGAGAAAGATAAAAAAACTATATATCTATCTTTTCTCTATTTAATTATATACGTAAGACATAAGACAAAATACACGACATACCAGGGGCATAGTGAAAAGAATATAATATTACATAGTTGTAACAAATTTTGTGCTTGAGAATCGAAACTTAAACCAGACTTATACATGATTTAATGATAGGTACAGATTACAGTCTTACAGACATAAGAAAACCATGGGTAGCTTGTGCCACATTAATACATTACAAGATTCACATACCAGCTGCCAGCCTAGCATTCAAAGAGAACTGGTTTTGAGGCGAATGTTTTTTACAAAAACCTCCTGAATTACTTTGTTTGAAAAGGTTCTTCAACAATCACTTGCACAAATATTTTTGAAAAATATTATCTTGAGACTAAAGTTGGGATATTAAAAATGTGACATTGCCTGTAAACTACAGGAAAAATATTTCTTAGAAGAACGTGGAAAATTCAACGCACACATGGGAACCCCAAATAATTGAAGATACATAATCGTTTTGCAGAGATAATTGTAGCCCGAAACCATTGATGTGTCGAATGTAAGAATGGAACAAACCTGATGAGTCAGATAATGATCTGGATGGTTGACAAGGAAAAAGTGCTCAACAGATTCGCTCACTGATTCATTAGGATCGGGTGGCACATTTTTAACGAGAACCTGCGAAAGCCAAGTGGCAGCACTTTTAATAATGATCAACTACAAGAAAGATGAAAATAATCTCCATATTAACCAATATTAAAAATATAGTAGTCACATCAGATATGCCTCCTGAAGCATGACATCTTCAACATAAATCAGCTATTGTTTTCAACGAAGACATAACTTAGACTAGCTTGGTATATCCAAGGAAAAATTATACTTGGAGAATAGCAAGAATATTGGAAACAAGTACAGACATGCACACAATGCTATAACCATCCACACCCGACAAACACTCATAAAGTACTCATAATTTTCTGTTGTCTTTGTACACTCTAATTTAAATCGGTGTATGTACGTGTATACATTCATGTGCATCACATATATGTAACTGGTCAACCTTATTATTACCAAACAAAAGAGATATAGGGGAAGAAAAGATCTTTTATGCTAAAATTTATCTTCCCAATCAAATTTAGTAGGAGATTGCATCTTACCGTAAATTGATCAGGGCGACGTCTTTCAGAAGCAATAAAGTGTAAACGCATTGCTGAAACAGTGGCATACTCTTTTCGCAAAATATAGCATGCCCAAATTGTAAAGGCATACGCCATCACTATATGAGTCCAAAACCTGAAAATAAATGTGAAACTAGTCATAGGACCAAGCACCATTAGTGGAGGTGAAGATAAAAATGAAATTACCATTAACTTCTGTAGTCCTTACCAATTTGGAGACACGCAAGGGTCTCAAGGTGGGGCAGACCAGTGGTCATCCTCCCACCATGCATATTTCAACACAATGCCACCTTTAGAAATTTTATGGATTCTAAACTAGAAAGCAAGGCATTATAGTACTAATAGGTCCACGAAAAGATTACTTTGATACTAAAGTTGAGAAGATGCTTCCGGTTTCTGAAGCTGGGTCATTGGACAAGTTGAAAAGTTTTAACCACAGAATGCCACAGCGCTCAGGTGTGGTGGACCAGTAATCTAGTCATGAACCAAGATCTAAAATACTACATATGCATGTGAACTCAAACTCAAACACACTCTAAACATGGACAGGGATCTAAATGTCAATGAGATATGCATGTGAACTCAAACACACTCTAAGCGTGGACAGGGACTTCAATGTCAAAAATTTTAGACCCAATATAAATTGCAAGAGAAGGCACAGCTGCAACCTTGATTGCATTAAAAGAAGGCTGTTCTACTAGTGTGCATGAAAAACACTTCAATTAAAAATAATGATGACACCAAAACTAGAAAATTAAATCCTGTTAGAGACAGGTGGAAATGAATACAGCTAAACGAAACAGGATTTATATGCTTGAAATGAATAGTGAGGCAAAAGGCTACTTGAGCCTATAACCAAAGACTTGATTTTGACCAGAAACCTTAACATACAAAATGCAAATTTAAATAACCCTGCATAATAAAGACACATGCACGCTATAACATATAAACAAGCCAAGCTTATTTGTGCATAGTTGAACAGATCATGCCCTGGTTCAATCTTGGCCATTTTCCAAACTCAAAATTTAAAAACCAAAATCAGTTCGCCCATTAATGACTGAGAAGCATCCAAACGTTACGACTAGCTGAGCATAATGGATAGATTTAACACCAAGACTCGTACAAACATAGTATAGTCAAACACAATAATGGATAAATTAAATTTTACTTCTAGACCTAAATTGAGCAAATACAGAGGGATGATAGTAAACTACTGCTGAAGATTTAGAAGGGGGCAAAAAAAAAACTATGAAGAAAGAATGCTCCTCACCTGTTGGATCCAAATGGAATGTTTGAAATAGATAGCTTATCAATGTCACTGTACTGAAGTTTATTAGTTGCATTAGCTTTCTCCAAGGTATTATTTGTCCAGTTGACTGGTACCAGGATAGCCCATGCCAGCAATGTCACAGGAACAAAAATCTTTAAACTGCATGAACCAATGTGCAGAGTTGGTAAACAGTACGCTTTGGAATTTTACAAGGCATATAGCAGGATATATAGGGAAAGATGACAACATACTATCAAACAAAGGAATTACACTTCATAGGAATCATCAAAGAACTGAACTTCATGAGATCAATGACTACTTCTAATTTCCAACACCCCAAAACAGACATGCATCCATAGTTGCTGGAATTGTGTAGTGGTTAACATATTTTCTCGTAAAGAATGTAATTCTGATGAAATTTTAAGTTGCATCATAAAGAGATAAGAAGCAAGTCCAACCAGCAGTTAAGTATTAAATAAAAGTGGCATCCAACCAAAATCAATAAACAATATTTAAGAGACCACAACAATTCTGTGCTACTTAAGACAAGCATGCAAAAATGAACAATCCGTAGCTACTATTGCTACATGGATTCGCATCAAGTCTTGAGGATGTGATGCAAAAATGAACACTCCAAAGTATAAGAAATAGCAATATTTAAAGCATACCCCAGCAAGTAAATTCGCAAGTAGACGGCAGAATCCAATCCTGCATGATCGATGAGCTCCGGTTCAGGCATTTTCATTGCATCTGGCACCCACTTCAGAAATCTAATGTATGATCTCCAGTCCAGATTGACAATTTTCTTAACGAATGCCCCCGAGTGTGTTGGGCTTTCCCTCAAACCTTTGAGGTACCATTTTGGAAAATATACTCTATCATTAAATGGCTGAAGCCGTAGGATGGCAAATGCTATAAGGAAAACCAATGCACTTAGAATATTTATGCCAGCTGCAAGCCCTATATCCCCAAAAGTAGCCATATTTCACCTCTGATAAAGTAAGTGAAATTCCTGCAGAAAGAATAGAAAAAATCTTAAAGCATATACTTATCGATGTACAGTTTTTACACGCCATAAAATGATAGGTAATCCAATCCTGAAATATACATACAGTACTGTGTAACAATAAATTACTGGAACTTAGAAATATGCCTGTGGTAAATTCAGCCACATAGGGGTGTTCTATGTTATATAATTAACTCACTGAATCAAAACCACAAAAGCCATATAATAAATAATTAATCGAAAGAAAAAGTAAATTATGCAAACTAGTACTTTTGGGCTTATAACTCTGAACTAATAAAATATCAATTCTAGGGAATTACTTTCGTCAAATTTCCAAATTCGTATATTATTCTAATTACATTTGTAAGGAATAAGACTTTGTGAGGAAATAGGAGGAAATGACCTTCTTATTCATGTGTAATTCCAAAATGATCTTTGACCGGTAAATATGTTAAAAAAAAAAAGAAAAATTTAAAAGTAGAACTTTAGAGAAGTAAAAAATCAAAAATACCCCCTTCACAAGAAAATTGACGATTTTTTTTTTTTTTATTATTAATCAAGTCATTCTATTAACNACCTTTGGGATTATTTAACTCTGCGGCTTCACGTATATGATGCAGGCGAACAAACTTCAAGAACAAACAAGAAAAGGCAACAATAATCGAAGCAGTAAAAAGACAGAGAGAAGGAAAAGCAGTGGCGAGATTAAAGATCGGAGAGTGTTAGAATTGCTTCAAAGTCGAATCAAAACCAAACAACATCCAACTCATTGTGCAACAGAAGAAAATGAAAACGAAGAAGAAAGACAGAGAAATTTGTGGGCAGTTATACAATGTGTATTTGTCTCTAATTTTAAAAGTTGGGAAAATCTGAAACTGTGAGATTTTTTGAGATTGTGAGTTGAGGTTATAGAAATTTTTGCTCTTATTTGTGGATGGTTACGCTGTGGGAGTGGGGAACCTGAAGAGTTGAATTCGAGTAAATAATTTAATCAATGTACGTTTTTCAGGCCGAGGGAGGATGAACAAATCACAACTATTATGTCGGGGGTGTCGGCAAGGATCACGCGGATGCTCTAACGGCTACTTTTTGTCGGATTGGGTAGAATTATGTCACGCGCTACAGAGTGCGTGGTTTTGCAAAGTTCTTTTCTTATCTTATTTAAAATAAATTCGTGGCTTTTTTTGGAATTGATTTTGCCGTTAAAGAAAGTGAATCGTTTCGTAATATTTGACGAATAAATGTTAGAAACTGGTAATTTATTTAGCATTTAAGTTAAGATATTTTAAGTTTTATTGAAGTGAGTTTAATGAATTATATTAATTTTTTTTAAAAATTATTATCATCTTCATACGAATTATATTCTCAAATGAACACGTGGAAATGGAAGAGAATGGATGTTTAATTAGAGTTAATTTTTTTCCTTATTAGTTATTCTCTTATTTATTAACCGACACTTATAAATTTCTTAAAAGCATAAAGCGTGACAAAATGGGGAAGCCAAGATTCGGCCTAGGTCAAAAAAAGGTTAAAAAAATCATTTTCTTATTTTAATATTATTTAAAAATTTTAAATCGATCTAAATATTACTTTATAATTAAATAATTAGAACAACGTAAAAAAAGAGCACCTATGCACAAAAAAAAGTGCGAGGTAAGGCGTTTTGCCCAATTTCTTGTCTAGACACCACTTTTTGGAACATTGCCTTTTAACAATACACTCAAGTCTCAATCGAAATTATTGATTTCTCTTATTTACTACCTGACACTTTACCTAACACTTATTAATTTCTCTCATTTCTCTTATAGAGTAGTTGGTAGTGACTATTTCACCTAGTGGGTATGGGTCTTGCTGCAGTGTTTCGTTGGTGATAGGTGGTGGACTTGGCTAATTGAGATTGTTTAGAGACGGTGGCTGATGGAACTATAGGCACATTTGTGGTTGTAGGAGTAACGTGGGTTGTCAACGATGATGGCTTGTTGAAACAATTTGTGAGTTGCAGGGGTGAAGCAGGCGGAAAATTTCGAGAAGATGATGAAAAGTTTGGGATTGTAATTGACACAAATGAAACGTTAGGGAATAATTTGCAAAAAATAAAAGATTGGGATACCACAATTGCAATAAGGGGTTTTTCGCACGCAAAAGGTCTTCTAAGAAGGTTTTTCCTCAATCTGAAAGCATATGAGGATATTTCGCAATAAAGACAAAGGTCGAAGAAATTGTGTCAATTACTCGAAATTATTTATCACGATTCACGCACTTATATATTTCTAACGTGTGAACAATATGCTCAACTCTTGAAATTAATTGCATCCCAATTGTTGTAGGAATTGTTGACAAATAAATAAATAAATACTTCAAGAAATTGTTCGGTCCCACCATTCCAAAAAAATGCATATAAAATTGTTAGCCGGAAATAAAATTCGAACCTAAAAACAAGTACACTGATAAGACTACTTTATTACTCAATAGATCTTCATCTCAAAATATTATTCGTTTTTAAAATACGAACTTAGTATGAAATAATTGACTAAGATCCATATTTTTTATTTTTCTAAAGATTGATTTGACTTTCCTTTTTCGTGAAAAAGTATGTATGGCGTCAGCGAATCACTTCTGGGGATTTGCATCTTTATTATCAATTATTTTTAGGATAAAGCCGCTCAAACAGGGAATTCAGACTGAGTTTGAAATCAGATACACGTGACGTCTCTTGACTTGTCGATTTTTGTTTTAAATTTTCCCATCCTCCAATGTTTTAATGCCATTTGTATCTGTACGCAATTCCCTGATTTTTTGCCCTATTTTTCTAGCATTGTTCTTATTTTTATTATCTTTTTATTTACAAGTAATTTTTAGAGTTCGACCACTCTCTACTTTTAAAAAACATATTTTATAACTTAAAGAGTATTTATTTTTAAAACTGAATTCACTACTCCCCAAAAAAAAAAATTATTATTTTTTTATCTTTTATTTTCACTAGCTTACTTCGAAATTATTATATTATTTTTCTTCATTAAAAAGTAAAATACTTTGAATATATTTTAATTATAGAGGGTGAGTTTGAGTCTCCTGAAATATAAATTTAAGTATTAACTTTTTAAAATAAATAATATTTTATATTTAAATAGTTTTTTGAAGATGTTCTTACTTGTTTTATTAAAGATACGAAGAAAAGACGTTCGAGTTCTTAGAAAGAAATTACTTCTCTTTTCTTTTCAATTTCAGTTTAATAAAAGAGTAAAACAGTTGTTCTGTCTTTGATGGAGATTGGAGTCTAATTTTTCCCAAATATAATCACAAGTTGTTGAGTATTACAAGTAAAGTCAGTTAATTCGTCCATCAACTAGACATTTATGTCTCAAAAATGCCGTGGACGGTTCCAAATTGCCAATGTTCAAAACCGTGTTCTGTTCACGCCGAATTAGTTGGTTTTAATCCTATCGCATCCCCCTTGTTTGATTCATTAACAAGTGGGTTTTATTTTTTATTTTTTAGAATAATGATTTTTGAAATAATGATTTTTTAAGAATGTGTTGTAAAAAAAAATTAAAAATAATAATAATAATAATTAAATTTACGTGCAAAATATTTTATTATGAGAAATATGTAATTGAAAATGAAATTTAGAAAAAAATAATATTATCTAGCACCAGGTGGTACAAGATCACAATTTTATATAATTACACTTTATAGGTTCAATTAATTGAGTAATGTGATTTTATATTTAAATGAATCTTTTATTTAATATTATGTAATTATCACCTAAACTGATACTTAATATCGATGGTAATGAATATCATTACTCAAAAAAAAA